GCATCAGTGGAACCGGTGGCTCTCCGCTCCCCGTGGCCAGGAAGTGCCATGTGACGGGGCGCGCGGGCTGGGCGGGTCTCCGCTCCCCGTGGCCGGGAAGTGCCATGTGACGAGGCGCGCGGGCTGGGCGGGTCTCTGCTGTCTGCGCAAGCGAGGGTGGCTGCTGACGCGTGGCTCTTCCAGGCGCTGATCTCAGTGACTCCCGACGAGGAGACGTACGACGAGGAGGACGCTGCCTTCTGCTTGGAGATGCTGCTGCGGATCGTACTGGAGAACAGGTGAGGAGAGCCGCGAGCCAGTGCCCTCGTTCACGTGCACTCTCCGGGGGCTCAGCAGTTCTGTGAATCTCTGCTGGGACAGTGAGGCCTAGTGGACGTGGAGACCAACACAGTGTCTCCCCCAGCGAGATAGGGCAGGGGGAGGGAGAGCCGCTGCCTCGGTGGGCGTGGGGAGCTAGTGTGCCGCAGGGCCAGGTTACGGGAGTTGTTGAACCGAGAGGTTCCAAGGAAGCGGCTGAAGCAGTTCCAGGGGCCCCCTCACCTGGTTGCTTGTGAAGAAGGAATCTCTGCTGGCCACTCCTTGCAGGAGCGTCCCGCTGAGCAGGGCTGCGAGGGCTCGGAGCGGGGCTCAGCCCTGCTGCTCATCTCCCTTCACCCTGCCCTGTCTCTTGCTGTCGTGGCTAGGGACCGTGTGGCCTGCGTGTGGCAGGCAGTGCGAGATCACCTCTATCACCTGTGCGTCCATGCTCTGGAATTCTGCTTCCTGGTGGAGCGAGCGGTGGGGAGGCTGCTCCGGCTGGCCATTCGGCTCCTGCGCCGGGAGGAGATCAGTGCCCAGGTAACGGGCGGTTTGGGCGTGGGCACGTGAGGGCTTCGGGGTAATGGGGATGGAGCAGCCCCCTAAGAGGCCCCCCCACAATGGAAAGGTCTCTGACCGTGCCCCAGGGGTGGAGAAGCTGGGCCTGGATTGGGGGAAGAGGTGGGAGTGGGAGCCGAGCTGGCCGGGAGCACTCAGCCACCGTGTCTGGCCAGGTGCTCCTCTCGCTCCGGATCCTGCTCATGATGAAGCCCAGCGTGCTGTCCCGAGTGAGCCATCAGGTCGCCTACGGCCTCCACGAGCTCCTAAAGACCAACGCGGCCAACATCCACTCTGGGGACGACTGGTACACGCTCTTCACCCTCCTGGAGTGTATCGGCTCAGGGGTGAAGCCGCCCCCAGCCCTGCAGGTTCCAGCCAGGGCAGATAACGACACAGGTAGGACAGCCTGCTGCCAGGAAATCTGATGCCTGCCGGCCAGATAAGCAGCTGCTCCCCGGGGCTTTTCAATTAGCAAAGGGAGCTGCAGGAAAACAGAGCTGATAGTAAACTGCATTAGCGAGATTAAACGGCAGCACCTGCTGTCCACTCCTCCCAGTGGGCCCTCTCTCAGCCCAGCAGTAGCCGTGCCCAGAGGGGGCTGAGACTGCATAGCTGCTGGGGGGCTTGTCCGGGCAGTGCAGGATTGATGCTCCTCAGGGGTGTGACAGGAACCCAGCTGTTGTCACCTCTCCCTTGATGCTCCTATGGGGGAGGCAGCTGGAAAGGGAAGAGCTTGGCACCAGGGCTGTTCTAAGAGCAGTGTCTGGGAGATGCTTGTGGGTCCATTGAGCATAGACGGGGCACTGGCCACTCATGCAAACCTGTCCCCAGCCCCCCGTCTCCTGCGATAAGGCCGACCACACGAGAGCCAGCGGGGAGCACGGCTGAGCCCTCCCTCCGGCACACGGCAGAACGGTTGGCGTGGTGCCTCCAAGGGCTCGTTGCCACAGGCCCACGAGACCTCTGGCGGGTGGCTTTCCCTTCCGCCCTCGCCCCAGCTCCTGCTTGTGAGGCATCTGGTCTGCCAGGGCCTGCTGCCATAGACTCCTAGCCACGGGAGGTGGGAGGAGCAGCCTTCATAGAACCAGAGAGCTGGAAGAGACCTCAGGAGTCATGAAATCCAGCCCCCTGCTCTAGCCAGGACCAAACCCAACTGAATCAACCCGGCCAGGGCTTTGTCAAGCCGAGACTTAAACACCCCTAGGGATGGAGACTCCACTTCCCTAGGGAACCCACCCAGTGCGTCACCACCCTTCTCCCGAGCACTAGAACGGGAGGGCCCTCGAGAGCTTGTCCGGGGCAGGCCCCTGGCCTCCAGGCCGGATCTAGGGCGGAGCTAGATGGTGGTTCTAGAACTGCTCCCTGGCGCACAGGACTCAGTGGAAATGGCACAGACCCGAGCTCCTGCCACGCGCTGTGTCCCCAGAGATGCACTGGGCCACGGCTCACGCAGGCTCCGCCCTCCCTCCTGGCTAGATGGTAGGAAATGCGGGCCGGTGGCAGAAAGCCAGCGATGGCCCCACTGGTTCCGGTGCTGCCCCGCAGGGCGTGCTCAGCTTGGAGACGGAGCTGTGGGTGCAGGGAAGGCAGCCCCTAGACTCAGCAGGCTCACGGATGTGGCGAGACACCGGGACGGGGGTGCTCCGTGAAATTCTCAAAGGCATGGCTGTGCTGCCCTGTCCCACGAGAGCACGGGCACAGCTCCCCTCCGCCTCCCCCCAAGGGCGGCTGGGGAGCCTGGAAGGAAAGCGCGGCGATGCGTGAGAATGGGGCGCGGCACTTGGTGCAAGCGCTGTGCAGCAGGCGGCGTCGGGGGGCACACGAGACAGAGATTTTGCGAAGGCGTTTTTGGAGCCCAGTTGATCCTGTCCATGCTTCAGCGCGGACTTTCTCCCCATCCGGGTCCCCAGCCAGGAGCACGGGGAAGCTGGTGGGAATTCCCTGTGTAACTCGGGCGAGGTCTGCGCTCTGTCCCCTGGGGCGCTGCTCTGCTGGCTGCGTGCGTGGGAGGGGAAGCAAGAGGAGATGAGGCCGGGCCAGGGTCTCTAACTGGGGTCTCATGGGCCGGAGCTGCCTCTTTGGGCTTGTATCCCCGGTGCTCTGGCTTTGGCTCCCTTCTATGCCTTTCTTGAAGGTGCTCAGTCCGACAGCGAGATCTCCTCGTCCTACCACCCGAGCGACGTCAGCCTGGACCGCGGCTACACCTCCGATTCCGAGGTGTATGCTGACCACAGCAAGCAAGGCAAGATGCATCGCTCTGTGACCGACGTGGATGTGATGAACAGCGGCTGGCTGGTGGTGAGTGAGGCAAGGGCTCAAGGCTCGTTCCCCGGGCGGGAGCGGGACAGCAGCTAGCGCCGCATGCCCGCTGCCAGCTCCCTGCCTGGCTGACCCCTCCCTGTCCGTGTTCATCGAGCTCACGGGGGGAGGGGCAGGTCTCTGGCAGCGCTGGCTGGGCGGGGAGGGTGAGGGATGGGAGAACTGGGTGAGGCAGAGGCGATGAGCAGGGGACAGGTGTGGAGGGGGCGGGAGAGGAGGAGACCTGGCCCTGTGCGATGGGCCGTGTCCGCTCGCGCTGTGCTATGGCTCCGCACTGCAGGTGGGGAAGGACGACATTGACAGCCCCAAGCCCGTGGCTGGCCTCAGCAGGCAGGGCCCATCTCCGCTGGTGAACCAGTACAGCCTGACGGTGGGCCTGGACCTGGGCCCGCACGACACCAAGTCCCTCCTGAAGTGCGTGGAGTCCCTGTCCTTCATCGTGCGGGACGCCGCCCACGTCACGCCCGAGAACTTCGAGCTCTGTGTCAAAGCCATCCGCATCTTCGTCGAGGCGAGCTTGAACGGAGGTGAGCGGGGCCAGCGCGGGGCCGAGCAGGGCGTCTCCCCTGGGCTCTGAGGGGCTTGGCAGTCGGCCCTTTTCACGCTCCAGTGGCCGCAGCAGTGGAATGGCCCGGCAGCCCCTGGAGCCCAGCCAGTGGTGCGGGGTGACCGGGGTGGAGGAGGAGGAGCAGCAGCCAGAGAAATGGCGTCCGGGTGGTGCTGCTGCACTGGGGCGTGGCCCCAAGAGGCTCCGAGCTCCAGGAGTTCTCAGCACCTCCCAGGATTGGCCCTTTTGCTCTACACTGGGGGGGGAGGCAGCAAGAGGCTGCTAATGGCCTGGAGCCGGCGCTAGGGTTGCCAGATGGCTTAATAAAAACTGCGGAACACGTGTCTCTTCCCCCCCCCCCCCCCAAAAAAAAAAGAAAAAACCTTTTTGGGGGGGGGGGGAACAGGAAATGTCAGACGTGAAATGTCCGGTATTTTCCGGGTGTTTTGCTGGACAGGGGGCCCGAATAACAGACAGTCCGGGAGAAAACCGGACACCCGGCAGCCCTGGGGCCGCCTGCCAAACCCTGAGGCAGAGAACAGCTCACACCTCAAACAGCCAGCTGCTCTCTGCTGGGGGGGAGGAGGGAGACCTCTCATGCTGTTCCCGCCCCCCAGCAAAATCTCTTAGCTCTCATTGGCCAATCTCTCAGTTTCTGGCCAATAGAAGCTGAGAATTTTTGCTGGGAGCAGGGGTGCTGTAGGAAGCCTCCTC